AAGTCGCATGTTAAACTCAGCATACGTAACTCTGCAATGAAGGTATCAAGTGATTCATGTTGAAGTTGAGCACGTTTTCGAAACTTGTGCCTCTCTGCCCACTTGTTTCTCTTCGGCTGAAAATGTGCACTCAACGCTTGTTTAACTTCCTCAAATTTCTTGTTCTCTCCCGGCAAACCTGAGAGCAAACGCTGGACTCCCGTCCCCGCAAGATGTAGAAGAGTAGCTTTTTGAACGTCGTCGCTTTCCTTATCTAATTTCGTAGCAATTCGGTAGTTGTCGAAAGCATCGAGCCAAAACTTCCACTCATCCGCCAAGTTTGTCGCCTCTAAATTAACTGGTGACAACGAAAACCTTTCAAAACTCATCTTGGCCTGTTATCCGATTGTCTTTTATCCTCGTCGCCAATTTGTAGTGTCGCAAAGTCTTTAACTGTAACGGAACAGACTCAAATATACAAGAAGAGTTTACACTGAAAGTAGTCAGATCCAACGTATCTATATCATCCTTAGGCTTAGCAGCCAAGCCTGCAATATCCATGGATACCCGGATATAATAAAAGACATTAACAATGAATAGTTACAAAAAGTTATGTTAAATATAAATTAATTTTGGATAGTAAATTAGGTGCTTCAATATAATCCTCCTCGCCTTTTAGAGCTGTGAATAAAGCTTTGCGAATTGATTTCTTGAATGCCAGTTTTGGTAGATTACATACTTGAGATGGGAGACAATTCCATGTTTTTGTGCCAAAGCTGAAAAGAGAATTCCGCTGTTAATTCAGGCATGAAAATTTAGTATGGTATTTGCCACAAAATGAAGCCCTCATAAATTATTATATGAATGAACCGAGCTGGTCTTGACAAATTTTTCAGAGATAGCATCTAGAGCAGAATTGTTTGAAACATCATACACGAGTGTAAGATAGCTTCAAAATAAAGCAGATGAATGGGTAATATTTTTTGAATAAATAAAGAAAGGAATGGCATGAGTTCTTGGAATTAAAAAATACATCATATGTAATGCACATTTCTGCAGTAACAATAGTTTATTAAGATGGGCTTTTGCGGCCTGGCCCCAGGCAACCAACCCATATGTCAAGTTGGGAAGCATGAGGGACTGATATATATTTCTCAAATTAGAGAAAGAAACGAAGTGTCTTAGACAAGCTATTACTCCAACAATTTTACTAATCTTCACAGCAATATAGTCTACGTGATATTTCCAGGACAGATGGTTGTCAATCAGAACACCTAAGAGTTTAATACATTCCTTACACATTCTAGACCTGACAGTATGTTGGTGCTGTTGTCTATAACTTTGAGTTTAATCTCATAATTTAGCGATCACTGTGGAGGTCAAAAGATAACAAAGTTTGATTTTTTAATGTTAAGTGTCAGCTTGTTTACATGCAGCCATTCACATACATTCTCAACTCTTTGTTAACGGTTTCCTCGAGGGACTTAGGATGTCTATCAGCATAAAGCATGTTTGTGTCATCTGCGAATAGAAAAAATTTTAACTTCTGTGAGGAGTTTGGAATATCATTAATAAATATCAGAAATAGAAGGGGACTGGCAGCACAGATCCTTTTGGAACACCACATGGGACGATTTCCTTATCAGAAATAAATGAGTTGATCTCAGTTGTTTGAGTGCGTTTAAATAAGTATGATGAAAACCAATCACTTACAATGCCTCTGACTCCATAGTGATTTAATTTGTTGAGCAGGATTGAATGGTCAACTATTTCGAAAGCTTTCTTTAAGTCAATAAAAATACCACACGAAAATAGTTTATTGTCCATACTCCTTTGTCTAGAGTTGACCATATCAAGTATTGCATGTTTATCTCGGCTGACAGGTGACTGACAGCCTATCACGGAAGCTATTGTTCACTCTTACCTCAATATGAACACATTTTTGGTGTTCACACATCTTCATCATTACTTTGAGGAGGAGCATGGTGGCAAAAGTTTCTTAAAAATTCTATCCAGGATCACAGAAAATTTTACATAAAATATTTCCATGTGAACACTATTAAAACTGGGATGAACCTTAAAAGATTACTTATTTTTCATCTCAGCAACCAGGCTGTGATTTTTTTCTATAAAAAAGCTGCAACCAGAATTAATCTCTTGCGATCAATTCGTCCTTTGATCGACCAAAAGTGTGCAGAATCGATCTATAACACTATGATCGCACCTATTTTTACCTATTGCGGAACACTTGGTCTTAGCTTTCCGGATTACCGAAAGGAAATGATAAAGAACATCGAACGACGAGGCTTTAAAGTTATTGGCAATAGTTCTTTTAATCCCCCATCCGTGAACAATTTGATCAAGCGTAAAAGCTGTTTGTTTGTTTTCGACTGTCTCCTGAATAATGTTTGCACACCCTTTAAGAACTACTTCGAAAGACTGGTTCATTCTAAGGCCACTAGGAATAACGGTATATCAGTGAAATTACCCAAAGTACGTTTAGAATTTGGTAAAAAGAGCTTCTATTACCAAGGAGCAAAGACTTTCAACAACCTGCCTGCTGAACTAAGGTCGTTAGATTCGAGACTGAAATTTAAGAACAAATTGCGAGATTATTTTAGTTAAAAAAAAAATTCAATCTAAACGTGGTTATAGGTATCCTTTTTCAGAGCATTTTATTTTATTGTATGCTTTTCTAGACCTTAAGATCAATGAAGATGATCNCTCCATGGAAGATTGGAGATCAGCTTTAGTTGGCATGTACCAAATATAGAAGCCGCTGGGCATTTCTTCCCGTTCGCTTTGTTCCCAGTACTTCTCTTTTTCTGCTTTTATCGTTAAATTTTCTTCGGATCTGCAGGAAAATGAATGCAGAAAAGGTTATTAAAAAAAGGAGGAAGCGCAAGAGCACAAAGATACCTGATAGGTAAGTACATCTTTTAAAAGTTTCCGTAGATCGGAAGCAACTTTGACCACATGGGTTATTAGTGAGGTGTACTTCACATACCTTCGATTTATTTAGTGTATCCAGACGTAATCACCCCTGAATCAAACATATGGTTAAACCTTGAGCCATCTTCTTTTTGATTGCATAAAAACAAAAAGTTTTTGGAGAGATTTTGAATCTTATTTTTACAGTCTTTCAAAAGAATTTGTACACCTTACCTTAAAAGATGTTATTGTAGGTATTATAATCACGAACTGCCCTTTACTTAATTATTTATTATTAATACTGATAGCTAAGATATATTTATGGGATTTCAGAAGAACTCAAATATTACCCAATATAACTGGCTTCAAATTAAAGGTTGAAAATAAGTTTAAAACAGAAAAATGTGTGTGTGTGAAGAATAATACTTCAGATAAATTTAATTAAATGTGGCTAATAAATAAGTAACTGGTTAAGCTAATTGCATTACTAGAAGTAGTAATATCTGTGTAAGTATTTTATAGTATAGTGTATTATGATACTGTAAAACTAGTAAGTGGCACTTAGTAGTAATAGTAGTAATAGTAGAATCTAACAATAGTGGTATAAGCTTTGAACTGTTTTGTAAGTAGTGTAAACCGTTGTTACACTGTAAATAATGTGAGTGGTCTTATTGTACTGTAAGTTACATGAGTGACTGTATTTGTAATTTGTAAGGTTGTGAATAAAATAATAATAAATGAAAAAAAAAAACCAAAACATGGTTAGGAGAGTAGAGGAATTAATCACAAAATATAGAAGCTCCTGATTGCTGAATACATTCTCCTTGTCAGCACCTTAGAAAATGTGTAGGGAACAGTATGGAGAATATGCATACTGATGTTAGGGTGTAAAAGGCCTAAGGTCATCATCAGTCATTGTTGTCATAAAATGAAATGGTGCCATGCCTGTGTAAAATATGTGTGTATTTAGATACCAAACAACCATCTGGATATTAGAAGGAATGAGTTATAGGTAAATTTTATAGTGATTTTGCAGTAAACTGGAGCTGTCTGCTATAAAATTGTTGACGTGATAACTATCCTCTTATTTCTCTGATAAGTAGCATGCTGCAAAGGGCTAAGACTCTGAATGTCTGTATTAAAAATTCGTCAGGGTGGTTGGTTTACATTATCAACTCATTTAACAAAACCAAATTATCTTGTAATACCCCCCCAACCCCACCCCTACCAATGCAGCAAAACTGTTCTTTGGAAACTTTCCCCTTTCAACAATCCAAATGATCAAACACAAATAG